CCCCACCCCCCCCTTCAAACAAGCGGACGATAAGCGGTTCGAGCAGCAAATGCATCGCGCAAGCCGCCGCCTCAAGTTCCCTTTAATACGGCGAAGGCCTCGGCCGCCGCCGCCTCATAAAAGCCGGCGTCGAGCCCTCGATCGGCCGCCGGCCTCTTCCTCCGCGGCGCCGCTGGCCGCCGCTCTTCCCGGCCGCCTTTCCCTGCCGCCGCCCGCCGCCCGGCGCCGCCGGCCCCCTTTCCGTCGCCAGCGGACAGGATGTTTGCGACCGCCAGCGCCATGTCCGCCGCCCGCCGCGCCGCCGCCGCCAGCCGCGCCGCCTCGGCCACCTCGGCCGGCGGCCCGCTCGCCACGCCGCCCGCCGCAACCTCGCCACCCGGCCCGCCCGGCGCCGGCCCCTCTGGCGGCGAGGCGGCGGCGTCGCCCGCGGAGGCGTCCCCCTCGGCCACGTCCCCCTCGGCCGCTGCTGCCTCCACCCACCGGCGCGCCACCCCAGCCGCCGCCGCTGCCGCCTCCACCGCCCTCGCGCGCGCCCCCGCCGCCTCCCGCAGCGCCAAGCTGCGGGTGGCCGCGTGACACCGCGCGGCCACGCGGTCCCCTCCCTCCTCCCCCTCCCCCTCCTCCTCCTCCGCTCCCGGCTCCCGCGCCGCCGTTGCGAGGATCGCCGCCCGCGCCGCCACGAGCGAGGCCTGCTCCTCCTCGGCCGCCCGCCTCGCCTCCGCCTCGGCTTCCTCCATCACCTCCTCCGCCCACGCGGAAGCGGCGGCGGCGCGAAGCTGCTCCGCGGCCACACCGAACGGCCGAGAGCGGCGGCCGAGTCGGTCGAGGTGAGCCCCCTGCCCGCTCCGGTCCAACTGCGCCAGCTCCACCTCGCTTAGCGACTGTCGCAGGCGCAGGAGGTACTTCGCGAGGGTGTACTCGCTCAGCCGGTGGGGGTTGGCCGCGCCGCAGCGGTCGGCGGCCGCGTTCTTAGAGTGGAGGCCCCGTGGCAGCGCGGCGAGTAGCGGAAGGAGTGTTGAGGGGTCCTGTGGTGCAGGGGCTATTGCAAACTGGGGAATGGCCTGGTGCTGTGTCGCCTTTACGTGTCCGTTGGGGCGTGTCGCAGGGCGGGTGTGTCGTGGTTCGTGCGGAGGTGCCCCCCCCCCCCCCCCC